TGAATGCACGCACCCTCAGGCCCCAGGGCCAAGGCTAGAAAAGTCAGTGAGATTTGGGGGCAGAGTCCAGTCCAAGAACTAAAAGGAGCCGAGGCCTCTGCAGCAGGTCCTAGGCAGACTCTCCTAGACTAGAAATTAGCATGAAATCTTAAACTGGATTCCTGGGAGCAAGCCCACCTCAGGGTTCCCTGACTGTGCAACAGGGGAAGGCTCCATGGCTTGGGGCCTTGGGGAGGAAAAGTTCCATCACAGGCCCCTAAAGACTAAACAGAAATGCTTTGTTTTATGATATTTCTCTGGTCATCTCTATGGTGGCAGGGGTCTGGTGTGAGCTGCGGGTGTGTTCTCTCCTTTCCTAGACTCTGCCTTCCAGCAGCAGATGACTGGCTGGGGCCAGCTGGGCTACCTAATCCCACCCCAGGAGTGTGGGCAAAAGGCAGAGAGGGACAAGGTGGCTGAGAGACAGGTGGAGTTCAGCCTCTGCACCCTCAGAGGAGTTTGTGAGGGCTTCAGGAGTGGAGTTAGGGGCAGCAGGGAAGGATTGGACAAGTCTGATAAAATGACGGAAGCCAGACGGAAGCCCAGAGTGTCTAAGGCACAACTCAAGCTTGAGTCCAGTGGGGTGGGGCTGACCCACTTCCTGGGAGTGTGGGAACCAGACCCCATGCTAATTTCCTGGGTGTCCTTTCCTAAGAAGCACCCACTCTGGTGTTTCCTACCTCACTGCAGAGGTGGGGCCCTCGGGCACACAGGGAGTGAAGCACAACAAGGGGTATACGGAAAGGGGTCTCCCCCAGGTCCTAAACCCAGCCCTGATACAGCTGAGGTGCAAAGTCAGACACAGAAGATCAAGCCAGACTCACTCTGGTGGGCCCCCACCCCCAGAGACATCCAGACACTTTAGTAGGATCATTAGCATGGTCACAAAGCCTGATTCATCCTTAAGCATGACAACTTGCCGGGCCCTGGCACGTGTGAGGGAGACACCAGACCTCTGAGAACCTTCAGGGCACTCCATCCAGCTGCTTGCATGGCAGCTCTGAGTAGAATTTTAACTGTTCCCACACCATGATTTTTAAAAATTCAACCACATGTTAGTGTTTTTGTGTGTTTTTCTTGTTTTGTTTTGTTTTTTGTTTGTAAACAGTCTTATCCAAGTTAAAAACCAATGAAGTGTGCATACCCAGCTTTCTCCCACCAGGGCTGGGACCTCTCCTGGGCTGCTTCCGAGGCCTCCAGCAGAGCCCCCACTCCTGTGGTTCGCTACCCCAAGAGGTCACCTCCTTGCCCATTAAGTATACATCTGAGGCCACGGGCTGTTCATTCTGGTCACCCACTCTCCCGCCAACTTCCCCAAGCTATTTCGAAAAAACATGAAAAGACTAAGGATGCTACTGAGTCTGTGACCCGAGGCATTTGGCTTGCTCTGCTCAAACCCAGGTCCCCAGGGGACCCATCATGGTCAGGGTGGTGTTGCACCTAAGTCAAGGGCACTCAAATCTCTGACTCGCGTCTGTAGGGCCGCTGCTCAAGGGCACCACTGCTGGCCTGCAGTCTGTCAAAGTCATGCTCTGGCTGAGGGCTGCGGCCATCCCGGTCTGTAGCCACCTCATCCTCCTCGTCTCGGCTCAGGAAGGCCAGCTCCTTCCCACAGCAGAAAGAGTTGGCACTGGGCAGGAGGAACTTGTTCTCCACCAGGTCCTTGGCGCTGCAGCGGGGCGTAGAGGGCACCTCATAGGTCTTGTGGAAGTGAGAGTAGTCAATCTTGTACTGGTTCTTCTCCTCGAAGAGCACGGGCTCAAAGCGGTGGCCCCACAGGATCTCATTAGCTAGGTAGGAGCTGCGAGCCTGTGTGGTCATGGCTGTGGCCTCTACCATGCCTTCAAGGATGACCACAATCTCAAAGTCATCTGTCTCGAGGTCCTGACGGCTAATGCCGAACAGTGGGCTGGCCTCATCAATCTCGTGCAAGATGGTGATGGGTGATACCAGGAAGATACGGTCCAGGCCCTTGTCAAAGCCCACGTCAATGTCAATCTGATCTAGTGGGATGTACTCACCCTCCTCCGTGACCCTGGGTTTGATGAGCTGGGCCCGCACGTGGGCCTCCACAATGTGGCTCTTGCGAAGATTGCCCACACGCCACATCAGGCAGAGCTTGCCGTCACGCAGAGCCACCACGGCATTATGGCTGAAAAGCAGAGTCTGCGCTCGCTTCTTGGGCCGTGCCATCTTGGCCATGATGGCACCAATCATGAAGGAGTCAATGATACAGCCCACAATGGACTGTGCCACCACCATGAAGACAGCCACGGGGCACTCCTCAGTCACACAGCGGAGCCCATAGCCAATGGTGGTCTGTGTCTCAATAGAGAAGAGAAAGGCTGCCATGAAGCCATGGACCTGCAGCACACAGGGTGTACGGCCACGGCCCTCAGCTGGCTCCAGGTCTCCATGGGCGACAGCAATGACCCAGAAGATAATGCCGAACAGCAACCAGGAGGCAAGGAAGGCCAGGGAGAAAATGAGCAGCATGTAGCGCCAGCGGATATCCACACAAGTGGTAAACATGTCAGCCAGGTAGCGCTGGGACTTCTCATCCATGTTGGCAAATTCAATGTTGCATTGGCCATTCTTCTTGACAAAACGGTTGCGGCACCGGCGCCTTGTATGCACTTTGCCGTTGCCACCGTTGGCGCCTGACATGGTAACCAGGTGCAGCCCGTCCTCCTCTGATGATACAATGCTGTAGGGGTTGGCCCGGCTGGCTGCGGTCATCCCGGGGTCTGGTGGACCCTGGCCTGCCCCCAGGCTGACTCCAGGCAGGGGCACTTCTGTAAAAGAGAGGACAGTAGGTCTGTCTGGGCAGGCAGCCAGGGCCCATGACAGTAACTGGCAGACACAGCCACCATTTAGTCACCACAGATCCCCTGTCTTCCCACCCACTTGAAACCTGGTCCTCAATCCACCTTCTCAGTGTGGAAAACAGTCTGCCCAGACTCCTAGCAGCTCCAGCCAGAAACCTTGGCTTCCTCTCATCTCATCTTACTCCTATACCAAGGGCTCTACTTTCAAATGTATTTATATTTCTCCCACCCTCATAGCCCAAGCCTGATCACCTCCAGCCTGGGCCAAGGCAGGCACCATCTCACCAGCCTCACTTCATATCTGCCTTACTCCCAGTCCCCATGGCAAGCACCAGGAGCCTGCAAGGCACCAAGCTGAATTCCATCCTTCCTCTGCTCATAGCCAGCGGACCCTAGGAACTGCAAAGTCTGTATAGGCAGTCCCACGGCCTTGTTATCCAGCTGAACACATAAACATATCCCACATATGCTACACACACACACACACACACACACACACACACACACACACACACACACGTGCGCACACACTACTCCCCCACATCCCCGCCAACTCATACACACACTCCCCCCAGCTCCCCCTCCCACACACAGCAGTGCTGCTGTACATCATACTATGCTCCCATGCTGTCCTCACAGGCCTCCTCATGCCCTAGACATAATGCACACATGGTTCTGACCCACACACTGCATACCCCAGCACAGATCCTCATGTAAACTATCAATAGCAACAATCATGATAGCTGTGACATTGGCCTGTTTTTCCCACTAACACCACCAGCTCCCTCATAACAGGCCATTTATATCTCTCACTGTCTTACCCCAGATCTAGAACAGGTCTGCCAAGGCCCAGGCTTCATCATATCTGACGGTCCATGTTCACTTTACCCATCTTCGAGAAGTCCACAGCATCCACTAAGCACCCACAGGCTACACCCATGACTTTTCTATCATGAGGTCATATGGTATAAGGGGTATCCCTAAAGTAGCCACCTAGATTGAGTCTCCTAAGGTTGCTCTGACTTCAGAACAGGCAGCTTCTCCCATCTTTGCTGAGGACTACAGGTCTACAAACCTCTCAAGTGTCACCTGCTTCCATTACTACCTTTGGCCTCCTGCAGGGAATACTGTATCTCCAGGCCATCCTAGCACACACTCCTCCCTGAAGAATGGCACCACAGACAGCAAAACAAATCCATTTCTCAGGCCCAGGCTTTGCACACCCACTGACCCACAAGCACCACTTCCAGGCTAATCCAGGGATCACAGCACTGCCTGCCCCTGGAGACTCTAGCCTGTCTCAGCTGGACTGAGCTGAAAGTCTGTCCACTGGTGTAGCAGAACATTGATGAACTGGACATGCTGCATCTCCCCATCACAGGGATGCCATGTACCCCAAGATATACCCAATTACATCACAGTTTAGAGCCCAACAAAGTCTTGGAGCCCTCAATCACCTGACATCACTAAGGAAGCCAAAGAAATCCCAGAAGATCCCAGGGTAGCTAAGTACCGAGGGTTGGCTGGATGCTATCAGAGCTTCCTGCCCTTGGACCCTTGAGGGTGGATCAGCCCATTTTCCAGACAAGGGGGCTCAGAACAGGGAAACACTTGTCCAGTACCGGTAGGCAGAGATAGCAATGCTGGAATTCAACCCCATCAGGACAGCACAACCCCTGGCCACATCTGCATCTGAGGCTCAGAGGGACACAGCCTGCAGACTCTGCTGCCATTATAGGGGTAAGGATGGAGCCCATTAGACCAGCCAGATCGAGAAGCACTCCCAGGGTCTATACCATAAGTCAGATTGCTGCTGAGTCATGAAGCCTGGCAGACACAAGACACAGCCACGAAAACTGAGAATGACAGAAAGCTTACTAGGCATGGGGTGAAACATATCCAAGACCCTCAAGTCATCCTCTAACACTCATAGAGGGTTTCAAAGAGGTAAAAGAACTCCCAACCAAGACGTACAGACATCAAGCAGGAGAGCTGAGATCCAAACCTCGTATCTAATGCAAAGTTCCTACCACGTGACCTTAGGCTCTACAGGCCACTGGTCCTCACTCTGACATCCTTCCCTACCGCTGTGTCAGATGGCCACCTCACCGTGGGTCTGTGTAGCTGAGGCTTGGGGCTGTGGTGGTGGATGTGATTTCTGTCTGGGCCAGGAGGCAGAAGGTTGGCGGGGCTGGGGAACCCAGGGACCATTCTGGGAAGACAGCGCAGCCCTGGATTTCTGAGCCTTCCAGGGGAATGTGGCCACTGGGGTACTCAAACGCCGGGGGGAAGCTGCCAGATCCCAGGAGCCAGGTTTGTGTGGCCTAGAGGCCTTGAGGGATGTCCATCGGGTCATGGTGGCTCTGGCTCCCACTATGAGCAGCAACTGGCCTGCAGGGAACAGAATTACAGGAATCAAAGAGTGGGGAGCCCCATCCAGAACCCTGCTCCAGGAAGGCAGTCTTCCATCGGGCCAGCCCCCATGTAGCTAAGAGTGCTACAACCACTCCTGGAACCTGGGAAATCCCACTTCTCTGTTGATATTCCACCCAAACCACAGAGAAAATCAACTTCGTCAAGCTTATGCCTATTCTGAACCTTGAGCCAGAAACTGCTGATGGGCAAAGTCCCTTGTCCCAAAACACCCAGAGAATGCACACAAGCAACAGATGTAGATAGAGTCCTAGGGTGTGGAAGCCCCTCACTTAGGGGTGGTGAGGACAGACTCAAAACGAAGACCCAGAAACCAAGTGCCAAAAGGACACCCCCACACAAAGGCTTGTGCAACAGGAAGGTACCAAAGATCTCCAAGAAATGTGGAGACATGCAGGCTGACAGGCTGTTGCTCAATGGGCATGTGAAGAGACTCAGAAAGAAAAACAATGAGATTTGCTTCACTTGAAGAGATCTAAGCAAGAGAAGAGGCCAGCAACCCCACTTCCTAGGTGAAGAAACTGAGGCCAAAGGAGAAAACAATGCTCAAGCCAACAGTGAGGACCATGGTAGCAAGGCCCAGGCCAGCCATTGGGGGTTCTGGGCACTGCCAGGAGAGAATGAGGAGACTCAGTGGAGTACAGTACCTGAAGTAGACAAGGAGAGTTGAAACTGGACAGCACTCAAAATGAGACCAGGCACAGTGGGAAGCAGAGGGCACAGAACCCACAGGAAGAAATAACCAGGCTTAAGACCAGCTTCTTGCCCTGGCACCTGCAGGCACAGCCTCTCAGCATCCAGCAAGTTTGGAGCACTGGACAGGGCCAGGACTGGAGCTCTGTGTGAAAAGAGCTGCCACCTAACCTAGGGTGGGGCCTGGGAGTCACTGGGAGGTACCTCCGGATGGAGCAGGACATCCCATGCCAGTCTCGAAGGCTCTGGGCACCTCAGGTTTCGCCAACATCCGGGAGGAACTGGGACAAGGCTTGGGCCCATATTCCTAAATGCCAGCAAGTTACTAGCTGTAAAGGCATGGTCCCTGGAAAAGGAACATCGGGTGAGCCCCCTCCCTTGGGGCTCATCCAGAATGAGGAACAAAGGGTCAAAAGTTATCAATTGCTGCTACCTTCTAGATACTCTCCTGAAACTCCAACATGCTCGTCCATTTAATCCCTGTAAAGACCGTGACGAGTAACTCCTTTTCCAGGGAGGAGACTAAAGCTCAGAGAGATTGAGTCACTTGTCAAAGGCCACACAGCCTCTAAGGAGTGGAGTTTCTGTTCTGGAGCGTGGAGATGAAAACAACATCTATCACTCAGACCCCCGAGGACAGACTGGGTGGCATCATAATCCACCACCAGTTCTCCAGACTCCATAATCCCATTTGGAAATAAAACATACAATACAAACTGTCCTCAAGTTGGCAGTCAATAGCAGACTTCTAAGGGACAGGGTACTCTTGAAGCTTCCACATCCAAAAACTCCTTGGAGGTCATCTGTGTGGGGAAGGCAAGCATGTGGCCCATCTGAGCCTTTCCCTTTCACCTGCGCCTGTGGCAGAGTTCAATAATCAACCACAGAGCTTTTGCCCACTGTATCCAGGAGCAGCTAATGCAGTCACTGCCCCTCCATCAGTGTTAGCATGAGAGGTTCCAAGAAGGCTCTCTGCCTCGGTCACAAAGGAAATGGGAGACCAGGAAGGCAGGAGGCACAAAGTTCTCTCTTGTGCCAGGCCCTGCCCAGAGAGCAAACCTATGGTAGCAGGCAATAGAAAGGGGCACTTGCAGAGATGGCCTGGCCAGAGCTAGTGGCACATGATCAGTAAGGAGCTGATCTCATTGGTAAGAGTTAAACTAAGTTGTGTGTTCAGGGGTTGGAAAGTTGAGAGGGCTGACATTTCTTTCTCTAAATCTGGGAAGATGATTCTCTGGCCATTCTTCTAGGCCAGACATCCTGATCAAATCCTCAGACAACCTTTGCCCTCATCCCCAGCAAACACTCAGGGTCAGTGCATGCTCTGGACTCCTGCTCCAAGCCTATGCTAGGCTTGAGGGAAGTAATGGCCCCTCCAAGCTGGGGTGGGTAGGTTGGTGCTCGCCCTCACTTCCTGTTAGCTTCAGGGTCCCTATGCCCTCACTTCCTGTCAGCTTCAAGGTCCCTATGCCCTCACTTCCTGTCGGCTTCAGGGTCCCTATGCCCTCACTTCCCGTTGAGTAGACCACGCTCTGCCCATGCACAGGGCAGGCTGGGAACCAAAACCACTGGGAGCAGGTGAGTAAACAGATCCACTCTCTGCCCCTAGCGTGAGATGGCTCCAAAGTGCAGGTTCCACGCGTCACCTTGGCTGGATCCTCACCTGGGAACCCCCAACCGGTTAGATCTCCAGCTTGTTCTAGCTCCAATCACCTGCCCCCCCCAGCAGTAATCCTATCAATAACATGTTCTTGCCACCCTTTATCTGGTCCTTCTCTGCCTTGTCTCCATGCTCACTCCCCTCTGGGATTTCCTCAGCTTGCCTCCCACAAAGCTACCTACGCTGGTAGCTTTGTCCCTTGGACTCTCCTCATGAGGCCTCTAGTGTCTCTCATTCACAAAGCCTCCTTGAGTTCCAATATCCCCTCCACAGCACCTCTTCTCCAAGATGTCTTCCACCCTCTCTCCTCTCCCACCCATTCTATGAAGACCTCTGGATATTCTCTGTCTCTCTCCCCAAGACAGGGTTTCTCTGTGTATTAATAGCCCTAGACATGCTGGAACTTGCTTTGTAGACCAGGCTAGCCTCGAACTCAGAGATCTGCCTCCTGAGTGCTGTGATTAAAGGTGTGCACCACCACCAGCAGCAACCTCTGGATCCTCTTGTTCTGGTTTCTACCCATCAAGGCCAGAAGCTACTTCTACATTGTTTGAAAGTTTCTCTTGTCCCAGCCCCATCTCTGACCAGGCTCAGAGGCCCTGAGAGGCTGGTGCAGGCTCTGACACAGAGGAACTGAGAAGTGTTCCCGAGCAAAGAAAACACAAAGGCAAGAGCAAGGGGATAGGCAAGGAGGTGACAGTGCCGTGAATGAGGAGACAGATACATGCACGGGGTGGGGAGGTGGTCAAGCGGATGGAAGGATGGATGGTTGGATGGATACACTGGGCTGGCGGGTGTGTGGGTGTCTGGAGAGGAGCGACCAGATAATGGGTGGTTTGGCGGGTAGATGGATGGTTGAGCATATGAATAGGTAGAGGAAGTGAGTAATGAATGGATGGGATGAGCAATTAACAAATTAGGGTGGATGACTGATAGATGGGTGTTCTGGTGGTCAGATGAATGGACAGATGGGTGTGTGGGCGGGTTGAAGTGAGAGGGTCGGTGGGGTGAGGGGCAGGAACCAGGTGAGAGTGGTAGGCAAAGGTGAGAGCAAGACAGGGGTGTCTGGAGCTACTGGATGGATAGCAACAGCTGGCTAGGTGGGCAGAAGAGACCAGTGAGGGGTGAGTGGCGGCCCCAGCGAGCATCCGTTGGTGGATGATAAGCTACACAAGTACACATCAGGACCTCACTCCCACCTGGAGTTGTCTCTTAAGTCCAATGCCAAGTGGCAGCCACTGTCTAACCAAGCAGCTGCTACCATCACTCAAGGCCAGCTGAGAGGGGAGGGGCCTCCAGTTACTCCCAGACTCTACCGTGAGCAAAGTAGAGCTACTGTGGGTGCTGCTGCTCTCCTCAGATCGCTCAGAGGCCACAAATGAACCTGCTCACTCCCACCCACCTCATATGCCTTCACTGCACCGCAGCTCAAACCAGGAAACCACTCAGATCGGACCAGGGCAGAACAAGAAAGCCACCGCTGATGATGGTGAGTGTTGTGAAGCTCTCCAGGCACGGGGTAGGCACCTCACACACTTCATCTTGCAAAATCTTCATGGGGCCACAGAGAAGCACCAATGTTTCCAGGGTCATGAAGAAGCTTGGGGTTCTATGCTTGTGTTCAAGTTATTCCTGCCAGGCTTTCCCAGTGCCACCCCCAGACAGCTGTGGATAGCCTGATAAACAGTCTTTCCATGGACGATGCATGGGTGAGCGAGTGAATGAGGACAGGATTAAAGTTGGATGAGTGGCATCAATGAACAGATAGGAAAGTGAATTGGAGAACGATAACATTTCAAACGGGCAGACCGGAACTTGCCTGTGTGCACCCTACAGTCTCCAGAATCAGTTTTCTATCTGTCAAAGGGGCCCCCAACCTCCCTACCTATCTGCCAGGTGGATCTGGTGAGAGGATGATGGGAAGGGCTCTCAACTACTGGAGGCCAGGACCTTGAGATGTTGTCACCTTCCCCACTCCCAGGCAGAGTTCACAGGGACGCCCAAGTTGCCCAGGTTGGCTTTGTCACACTGGCTTTTCTGGCTGGGATTAAAGAAATGGTTGAGTCACCCCCACATACTAAGCCTCTGGGGCAAGTGACAATGGTAGGTTTCTTTTTTTAAGATTTTATTTATTTATTTATTCATTATGTATTCTGCTTCCATGTATATCTGCACACCAGAAGAGGGCACCAGATCTCATAACGGATGGTTGTGAGCCACCATGTAGTTGCTGGGAATTGAACTCAGGACCTCTGAAAGAGCAGTCAGTGCTCTTAACCTCTGAGCCATCTCTCCAGCCCGACAATGGCAGGTTTGGAGATGCATAGTTATATTAAACCCAGGGCTCTTCCACTTACAAGTTGTGTGTCCCTTGGGGGAGTCACTTCCCCTTTCTGTAAGCCTCTCCATCCCTCACTATCATCTTTAATGCCACCTTGCACCCACTGTTTGCCTCTCAGCCCTTTTTAAGAAACCAGGACTCAGGAGGCAGGACCAAATGTCACACAACTGGGAATGCCCATGACAGGGACATCCTGTCTGTGAATTATGAATGAGTCCATACTGTGCTT